GGATGGATGGGTGGATGGGTGGATGGGTGGATGGGTGGATGGATGGGTGGATGGATGGATGGATGGATGGGTGGATGGATGGATGGGTGGGTGGATGGGTGGATGGATGGGTGGATGGATGGATGGGTGGATGGATGGGTGGATGGATGGGTGGATAGATGGATGGATGGATGGATGGGTGGATGGATGGATGGATGGGTGGATGGATGGGTGGATGGATGGATGGATGGATGGGTGGATGGATGGAGGGATGGCTGGGTGGGTGGATGGATGGGTGGATGGATGGATGGATGGGTGGATGGATGGATGGGTGGGTGGATGGATGGGTGGATGGGTGGATGGATGGGTGGATGGATGGGTGGATGGATGGATGAATGGATGGATGGGTGGATGGATGGGTGGATGGATGGATGGATGGATGGATGGATGGATGGGGAGGAAGAAGAGGTGGAAGAAGGGCTGGAAGGCCTCATTCTCTCTGCCTCTCTTTCCCTGCAGGAAGTCGGGGTGCCTCGGCCCCCCCATCCACCCCATCGACCCCCAGGAGGAAGAGGAGGAAGAGGTGTGACCCCTGACCCCTCCTCCCCGCACAACTTCGCCCTCCGCCCCCTGTCAATCATCTCAAAGCCATCAGCAGGAAGTGGAGGGGGGAGGGGAGTGGAGTTGGGGTCCCCCTGACCCCTGACCTCCGAACCCTCCCCTCCAGATGGATCAACACACAAGGACGGGGGCCAGAGGTCAAGGAGAACCTTCCGGAAGTCCCCGTCCGTGGTCTGCCTGGGGGCCTACCTGAGATCCGCCCGCATCCGGCTGCAACCGGTTCCTCCTAGTTCAGACCAGCTCCATCTGGCTCAATGTAGCTGAAACTGGTTCGATCCAGCTCAAACCAGTTCAAACTGTCTCATTCCAGCTCCAAAACCAGCTCCATCCAGCTCAAACTGGTTGATTCCAGTTCAAAACCGTGTCTGTCTGGCTCCATCCAGCTCCAACTGGCTCAAACCGGTTCATTCTAGTTCAAACCAGTGCAATCCAGCTCAAACCAGCTCAAAACCAGTTCAAACCAGCTCAAAACAAGTTCAATCCAGCTCAAAACCATCGTAAACCAGCTCAAACCAGTTCAATCCAGCTCAAACCAGTTCAAAACCAGTTCAATCCAGCTCAAAACCAGTTCAAACCAGCTCAATCCAGCTCAAAACCATCTTAAACCAGTTCAAACCAGCTCAAACCAGCTCAAAACCAGTTCAATCCAGCTCAAAGCAGTTCAATCCAGCTCAAAACCAGTTCAAACCAGCTCAAAACCAGCTCAAAACCAGTTCAATCCAGCTCAAACCAGTTCAATCCAGCTCAAACCAGTTTAATCCAGTTCAAACCAGCTCAAACCAGTTCAATCCATTTTAAAACCAGCTCAAACCAGTTCAATCCAGCTCAAACCAGCTCAAACCAGTTCAAAACCAGTTCAATCCAGCTCAAAACCAGTTCAATCCAGCTCAAACCAGTTCAAAACCAGTTCAATCCAGCTCAAAACCAGTTCAAACCAGTTCAATCCAGCTCAAACCAGCTCAAACCAGTTCAAAACCAGTTCAATCCAGCTCAAAACCAGTTCAATCCAGCTCAAACCAGTTCAAAACCAGTTCAATCCAGCTCAAAACCAGTTCAAACCAGTTCAAACCAGTTCAATCCAGCTCAAACCAGCTCAAACCAGTTCAAAACCAGTTCAATCCAGCTCAAACCAGTTCAATCCAGCTCAAACCAGTTCAAAACCAGTTCAATCCAGCTCAAAACCAGTTCAATCCAGCTCAATCCAGCTCAAACCAGTTCAAACCAGTTCAATCCAGCTCAATCCAGCTCAAACCAGCTCAAAACCAGTTCAATCCAGCTCAAAGCAGTTCAAACCAGCTCAAACCAGTTCAATCCAGCTCAAACCAGTTTAATCCAGTTCAAACCAGTTCAATCCAGCTTAAACCGGTTCAATCCCGCTTTCCGTCTGTGATCCGTCCGTCTGTCCGTCCGTCCGTCCGTCTGTCCGGCGGGGCCTCGGCCTGTCCCTGAATCCATCCCACACATGCGTGAATGAATGAATGAACGAACGAATGAATGCGTACAAATAAAAACACCTATTTTTGAGAGCACTCGGGGTCTGCTACTGATTTGTCTCGAACTCGGGACCTGGGGCTTGAACTCGGGGCCTGAATTCGAACTCGGGGCCTTGGGTAGAACTCAGGGCCTGAGACTCGAACTCGGGGCCTTGGGTCTCGAACTCGGGGCCTTGGGTCGAACTCGGGGCTTGAATTCGAGCTTGGGGTCTGGGACTCGAACTCGGGGCCTTGGGTTGAACTTGGGGCCTTGGGTTGAACTTGGGGCCTTGGGTCTCGAACTCGGGGCCTTGGGTCAAATTCAGGCCCTGGAATTGAATTCTGGGCCTGGGACTCGAACTCGGGACCTTGGGTCAAACTCGGGGCCTTGGGTAGAACTCGGGGCCTGAACCTCGAACTCGGGACCTGGGTCTCGAACTCGGGGTCTGAGGCTTGAACTCGGGGCCTTGGGTTGAACTCGGGGCCTGGGACTCGAACTCGGGGCCTGGGGCTCAAACTCGGGGCCTGGGACTCGAACTCGGGACCTGGGTCTCGAACTCGGGGTCTGAGGCTTGAACTCGGGGCCTTGGGTCGAACTCGGGGCCTTGGGTCGAACTCGGGGCCTGAACCTCGAACTCGGGGCCTGGGACTCGAACTCGGGGCCTGAGACTCGAACTCGGGGCCTTGGGTCGAACTCGGGACCTGGGTCTCGAACTCGGGGTCTGAGGCTTGAACTCGGGGCCTTGGGTTGAACTCGGGGCCTGAACCTCGAACTCGGGGCCTGAACCTCGAACTCAAAACCTGGGCCTTAAATGTGGGTCTGGGTCTCGAACTCACAGCCTGGGCTTGAAATCCTGTTCTGGGCCTTGAACTTAGAGTCTGAACCTCGAACCCACAGCCTAAACCTCGAACTCAGGCCTGAACCTCGAACTCGGGGCCTGAACCTCGAACCCGGGGCCTGAACCTTGAACTCAGGGCCTGGGTCTCAAACTCAGTATCTGAGACTTGAACTCACAGCCTGAACCTCGAACTCCAGGCCGGGACCTCGAACTCGGGGCTCAGGCCTTGACTTGGGGCCTAGAATGGACTTTGGAGCCTGAACCTCGAACTCAGGGCCTTGGGTCGAACTCGGGGCCTGAGTCTCCAACTCGAGGCCTGAACCTCGAACCCAGAGCCTGGGCCTTGAACTCAGGGTCTGGGTCTCGAACTCAGGGCCTGGGCCTGGAACTTAGGCCTAGG